CGCCCCGCCCCGCCCCGCCACGCCACGCCGGGCGCATTGAGTGCCGCCCCGTGACGTCGCACCGTCGTAGTCACCCGGCCCTCGACATAATGAGCCAACACGGCCGGCGGAACCAGCGAAAAGAGGGGGGGTGGGGGCGGCTGCAGATGCAAATGACGGTCACTGAAAAGACCCCGGTATGTAGAAGGGTGGGTAGTGTTCTCTACTGTACTTTTTTTAGACAATCATAGCTTTTGCTGACACCGCATCGCTGACAGGCTTGTCCACCGACTCTCAGCACGGCGCCCTCCGGCCGCGTGCGAGTATGCAATCCACCCGCACGCCCAAACCAAATCTGGTGCAGTATTATTTGCAAAAGAGAGAAAAAAAAGGAGGGGCGGATCACCTTCCCGACTTACTACGACGAGGGCTCTGTTTGGGAGCAATTGGTGGGGACACATGGCGAGCCGGTGACAAGGAGAGAAGAAGAACAAGAAGAGGAACGCACAGGAAGAATTTTATCTCACTTTTATTTTACTTTGAAGTTTACTCTCCCTACGCGCACACCCCACTGGCAGGCCTGTCGGCACGGTCCGTTTGTCGCCGAGACTTCCACGCCCAACGCGGAGAAGCCTTCGGGAGAGAAGCGGTCTCTTGTGGCGCTCACCGCCCCCCGTCCCCACCCCTCCAACCAGAGAATAGTTATTGGGGAGAGGGAACGACGGGGAACAACAACAGCGCTTGTGAGATATTTTCTTTCGCAACCCTTAGTGAGGCCGAAGATTTGATGTATTTACAAGCGCACTAGAAAATGTACCCAAAGACCTAAAAATATATAATGAAACAGTGCCTGTTCTGTTATGCCCTGCGAAAGGTATTAATTTGTTACAAGCACTTTTTCAAAGATGCTAAAATAAAAACTCTGTTTTTCTAGCATTTGTGATGGTAGCTGATTTTCGGGCGCCAGCCACCTTGCGACTCGTGCTCGTACTCTTCCCAAACCCCCCGTCCCACCCCGACCGCGCCAGAGAGAGAGAGAGAGAGAGAGAGAGAGAGCGCCTTGCCTCCCTAGAGAGCAACAGTCTCGTGAGCCTCTCTGCGGCCAGGGAGGGGAAGCGTGTCTGTGCTGGAGAGAGAGAGAGAGAGAGAGAG